TTGTCCAGGCCACATGTATTCTGTAAGTTTCAATTAGATTCCCCCCTCATCCTTCTAAACTCCATCGAGCATAGACCCAGAGTCCTCAAATATTCCTCATACGTTAAGCTTTTCATTCCTGGGACCATTCTCGTGAACCCCTTCTGAACCTGCACCAGGGTCAGTACATCTTTCCTGAGATATGGGGCCCAAAACTGCACACAATACTCCAAATGTGGCCTGACCAGAGCCTTATAAAGCCTCAGTAGTACATCCCTGCTTTTATATTCAACTCCTCTCAAAATAAGTGCCAAAATTGCATTTGCCTTCCTAATTAATGACTCAACCTGCAAGTTTACCTTCAGAGAATCCTGGGCTAGAATTCCTTTACTGTTCAAAAAATTATCTATCCTAGCTTAAAAAAAATTCCACGAGGAAGCCACAACTGCTTCACCGGGAAGGGAATTCCACAGATTCATAACCCTTTGGGTGAAGAAGTTCCTCTTCAATTCAGTCCTAAATCTGGTCCCCCTAATTTTGAGACTACACCCTCTTGATCTAGTTTCCCAGTGGAAGCAACAACTTCCCTGCTTCTATTTTATCTACTCCTTTGATAATTTTATATGTTTCTATAAGATGCCCCCTCATTCTTCTAAATCCCAATGAATATAATCCCAGTCTATTCAGCCTCTCCTCATATGCCAACCCTCTCAACTCTGGAATCAACTCAGTGAACCTCCTCTGCACCCCCTCCAGGGCCAATACATCCATGCTCAAGTAAGGAGACCAAAACTGTACACAGTACTCCAGGTGTGGCCTCACCAGCACCCTATACAGCTGCAGCATAACCTCCCTGTTTTTAAACTCCATCCCTCTAGCAATGAAGGACAATATTCCATTTGCCTTTTCAATTACCCGTTGTACTTACAAACCAACCTTCTGCGATTTATGCACAAGGACACCCAGGTCTCTCTGCACAGCAGCATGCTGCAATTTTTTTACCATTCAAGTAATAGTCCCTTTTACTGTTATTCCTACAAAAATGGATGACTTCACATTTATCAACATTGTGCTCCATCTGCCAGACTTTTGCCTACTCACTTAAATTATCTATATCCCACTGCAAACTTTCAGAGTCCCCAACACACTTTGCTCTCCCACTCATCTTCGTGTCATCCGCAAACTTTGAGACACTACATGTGGTGTGCATTCCATCACGGCCAGGAGACTTGTCTACTTTTAGCTTCATTGGCTTGCCCAATGTGATAATGATCGTGTCTAGGTCCTCACCTACCTCAGCCTCTTTGTCATCAATTACTGGCAAGTTATTCGTGTCCTCCACTGTGAAGACTGACACACAATACCTGGTTAATGCCTTGGCTATTTCCTCATTTCCCGTTATTAAATTCTCCTTCTCATGCTCTAAAAGACAATGTTTACCTTAGCCACTCTTTCGTTTTATATATTTATATATATTTTTGCTATCTGTCTTTATATTCTGAGCTAGTTTAGTGTCATAGCCTGTAGACTACACCTATCAGTGACTTTTTCTTTTTAGAATTTCTAATTTCCACCTAAAAAGATTCAACCTTATTCTCCACAGAACCTGTAACATCTCTCACTATCACCCTGATGTCGTTCTTAAATATCAGAGGAACTCCGCCCTCCCTTATCTTCCTGTCTGTCCTTCCAAATACTCTGATACCCCTGGATATTAAATTCCCAATCATGACCATCCTGCATCCATGTCTCAGTAATGGCTCCATAATGGCTACACTCTTTCCCTGTTTGTCTCTCTCACTCCATCCCTGTCTCTTTATGTTTCTAATTCTTCTCTTTTTCTCCTTTCTCTTCCTGTCTCTCCCTTTCTCTCCTGCCCTACTGTCTCTCCCTATCCCTCTATCCCTGCTTCTATTTCTCTCTCTCTCTCTCTCTGTCTCTATCAGTGTCCATTTGTCTATATCTCTCTCACTCACTCTCTCTGTCTCACTCTTTCTCACTCATTCTCACTAACATATTCTCTCTCCGTTTCTCACTGTCTTGCTTTCACTGTCTCCTCATTTCACCATCTCTCTTAAACATCTCTCTGTCTCTTTCTCCCTCTTCCTGTCTGTCACTCAGTTTCTTGCTGTTTCCCTGTCTGTCTCTGTCTCCATAGTTTATCTCTTCCTCCTTATCTCTCCCTTTGTCACTTTCTTTCTCTATCCCTGCATCTATCTCTGTGTGACACTATTTGTCCCTGTCTCACACTCTCTCTTCCTAAATCAATCTATCTCTCACTTTCCCTCCTTGTCTTATTTTCTCTCTCTCTCACCTTTTCACACTCTCTCACATCTGTCTTTCATACTGTCTCTGACTGTCTCTTGTTTTCTCAATCTACCACACCCCTCTCTCTTTCTATTTCTCTCCATCCCTGCCTCTATCTTACCCACTATCCCATCTCATCCGTCATGTCTGTCTCCCTGTCTCACTGACACAATCTCTCTACTTCCTTGTCTAGCACTCTATTTCATTCCATCCCTATCCCTCTTTCTCTTCATCTCTCCAACAGTGCGGCACTCCCTCAGCGCTGACCCTCCGACAGTGCAGCGCTCCCTCAGCACTGACCCTCCGACAGTGCGGCACTCCCTCAGCACTGACCCTCCGACAGTGCGGCGCTCCCTCAGTACTGACCTTCCGACAGTGCTGCACTCCCTCAGCACTGACCCTCCGACAGTGCCCGCTCCCTCAGCGCTGAGCCTCCGACAGTGTGGCACTCCCTCAGCACTGACACTCCGACAGTGCGGCTCTCCCTCAGCACTGACCCTCCGACAGTGCGGCTCTCCCTCAGCACTGACCCTCCGACAGTGCGGCGCTCACTCAGCACTGACCCTCTGACAGTGCGGCACTCCCTCAGCACTGACCCTCCGACAGTGCGGCGCTCCCTCAGTCCAGACCTTCCGACTGTGCCCACTCCCTCAGTACTGACCCTCTGACTGTGCCCACTCCATCAGTTGTGACCCACTGACCATGCGGCACTCCCTCAGTACTGACCCTCCAACAATGCGGCACTCCCTCAGCACTGACCCTCCATCTGTGGCACTCCCTCAGCACTGACCCTCAACAGTGCGGCACTCACTCAGTACTGACCCTCCGACAGTGCGGCACTGCCTCAGCACTGACCCGCCGACAGTGCGGCTCTCCCTCAGTACTGACCCTCCAACAGTGCAGCTCTCCCTCAGCACTGACCCTCCGACAGTGCCCGCTCCCTCAGCGCTGACCCTCCGACAGAGCGGCATTCCCTCAGCAATGACCCTCCGACAGTGCGGCACCTCTCAGTACTGACCCTTGACAGTGCGTCACTCCCTCAGTCCTGACCCTCCGACTGTGCCCACTCCCTCAGTACTGACTCTCCGACTGTGCCCACTCCCTCAGTACTGACCCTCCGACTGTGTCCACTCCCTCAGTTGTGACCCACTGACAGTGTGGCACTCCCTCAGTACTGACCCTCCGACAGCGCGGCGCTCCCTCAGTACTGACCCTCCGACAGTGCGGCGCTCCCTCAGCACTGACCGTCCGACGGTGTGGCACTCCCTCAGCACTGACCCTCTGACAGTGCGGCAATCCCTCAGCACTGACCCTCTGACAGTGCGGCAATCCCTCAGTACTGACCCTCTGACAGAGGCATTCCCTCAGTTATGACCCACCGACAGTGAGGCACTGTCTCATTTGTGACCCTCCCACACAATGGCACTCTTTCGGTTTTGACATATTGGGCCCTCGGTGCTTTTAATTTTGATTTTCTTGCTCCCTGCATCTGGCTGGGTCACCTGGACCCATGACCTTGAGTTGAAAGAATGGACCCCTGTGACACTGTGTTGGATCTGCAATATTGATTGGTGACCATGAGTAAGAATGCCACGGGGTTAATATGGTAACGAGATATCCAGTTAGTCTTTGTATGTGTGGTGAAGGAAAGTACAAAGTGATGTGGGAGAGAGTGAGCAGTGAACTGCATGTAGGTTAATGGTGTTTGAAGTTTTCCAAACACATCTATAGCTACTTCAGCTACAGTGTTTAAAACGACTGGTGAACAAAGTGGCTGATAACGGATGGAATGGGATACACATCTTCCTGGTGAATGACAGCTGGAAATGGTGATGAGTCAGTGAAGCAGCAGAGAGTGAGTTGCTGACATGTTCACAGAGTGATCGAGTGGCAGCCTAGACTACAACTGTCACTTTAATTAACTTTTCACATCGCCGATTCAGTAACTATTGTTTTTCATTCCAAATTCTGTGAGGTTACTGATCTGAGGCGAATTTCCATCCTGGGTTTTTTCAATGCACTTGTCCTTTTAATTCTCAATCTGCTGGTTTCCTGTGTGAGAGAGCATCAGTCCTTGTTCACTGACACTCGGCAACATCTTCAATCTGCTTATTGCTTCACCAGCTCTTGCCTGTGGCTATGTATAACTTCACTTTTGCCTTTGAAACTGAATCAGAACGTTGTGGTTCCAAGCCCCACTTCTTTTTCTTTATTTATGGGATGTGAGTGTCACCAGGAAGGTCAATCAGCACCGACTTCTGTAGGAGTGGCATGGTGGCACAGTGGTTGGCACTGCTGCCTCGCAGTGCCAGGAACCTGGGTTCAATTCCACCCTCGGGTGACGGTGTGTAGTTTGCACATTCTCCCTGTGTCTGCGTAGGTTTCCTCCGGGTGCTCCGGTTTCCTCCCACAGCCCAAAGATGTGCTGGCTATGGGGATTGGCCATGGGAAATGCAGGGTTACAAGGATATGGTAGGGGGCTGGGACTGGGTAGGTTCCATGGGCCGAATGGCCTGCTTCCACACTGTGGGGATTCTGTGATCTCAAATTTCAAGGTCATCCCTCAGCCTCTGACGCTGCAGCAAAAACAATCCAAGTTTGCACAATCTTTCCTTCGAGGTAATATACTTAAATCCAGGCAACATGCTGGTAGACCTGTTTTGCACCCTGTCCAAAGCCTTTCAATAGTGTTGTGACCAGAACTGCACACAATATTCCAAATGTGGCCTACCTAAAGCTTTATACAGCTGTAACAGGACTCGCCAACTTTTATACTCAGTGCCGTGACAGATGAAGGCAAGCATGCCATACAATTTCTTTACACCTTATCCACTTGTGTTGTCACTTTCAGGGAGCTCATTGTCCTTGGAAATATCAGTGCTCCTGAGGGTCCTGCTATTTACACTTATCCCTTGCATTTGACCTCTCAAAATGTATCACCTCACACTTACCCAGATTAAACTGCATCTCCATTTCTCTGCCCAATTTTCAACTATTTTTCTGCGGTTTGAATTATGATCACTGTTCCCAAAATGCTCCCCTACTGAAACTTTGATCTCCTGGCCAAGCTCATTCCCCAATTTGAGTTCTAGTATAGCCCCTTCACTAATTGAACTATCGATGTATTGCTTCAAAAATCCGTCCTGGATGCATCTAACAGATTCTGCCCCATCTATGCCCTTGGCACTAATAGATTCCCAGTCAATGTTGGGGAAGTTAAAATCACCCACTACAACAACCCTATTGTTTTTATATCATTCTATGGTTTACTTACATATCTATTCTTTTATCTCCTGCTGGAAATTGGGGGGCCTATAATATCACCCCATCAAAGTGACTGCACCTTTTCTATTCCCGAGTTCTACCCATACAGCCTCACTGGGTGAGCCCTCCAAGATGTCCTCTCTTACTGTAGCTGTGATATTCTCCTTAATCAGTAATGCAGCTCCCTGAGCCCTTTTATATCCCTCTCTGCCACACCTGAAACCCTAGAGCATTGAGCTTCCAGTCCTGACCTTCTTTCAACCAAATTTCTGTAATGGCTACCGCATCATAGTTTCATGTACTAATCCAGGCTCGAAACTCACCTGCTTTACCTTTTATACTCCTTGCATTAAATAAATGTACTTCAGACTGCCAGTTCCACCGTGTTCATTAACCTGGCCCTGCCTTTTCTTAACACTATGGATGGGGATATGAATGGAAAGTGTTTAAAGGAACATGAACCAAATGCTGGGAAATGGGACTAAATTAATTTAGGCTATCTGGTCAACATGGACCAAAGGTTCTGATTCTGTGCTGTACATCTCTATGACATCTCTATCTCTAGCTCCATGGTAGGCTCATGCAGAAAGTAAGGAGGCATGGGATAGGGGGAAATGTGGCAGATTGGATACAGAATTGGCTGACCCTTAGAAGACAAAGGATGGTAGTGGACGGAAAATATTCAACATGGTGCTCAGTTACGAGTGGTGTACCACAAGGATCTGTTCTGGGTCCTCTTCTATTTGTGATTTTTGTAAATGATTTGGATGAAGGAGTGGAAGGGTGGATTAGTAAGTTCGCGGACGATACAAAGGTGGGTCGAGTTTTGGATAGTGCGGAGGGCTGTTCTAGGTTACAAAGGGACATTGATAGGATGCAGAGCTGGGCTGAGAAGTGGCAGATGGAGTTTAACCCTGAAAAGTGTGAGGTGATTCATTTTGGAAGGACAAATTAGAAAGCAGAATAAAGGTTAACGGAAAGATTCTTGGCAGTGTGGAGGAGCAGAGGGATCTTGGGGTTCATGTCCACAGTTTCCTGAAAGCTGCCACCCAGGTGGATAGAGTTGTTAAGAAGACGTATGGTGTGTTAGCTTTCATCAATAGAGAGATTGAGTTCAAGAGCCGTGAAATTATGCTCCAGCTATACAAAAGCCTGGTTGGGCCACATCTGGAGTATTGTGTCCAGTTCTGGTCACCTCATTACAGGAAAGATGTGGAAGTGTTGGAAAAGGTGCAGAGGAGATTTATCAGGATGTTGCCTGGAATGGAGGGAAGGTGTTACGAGGAAAGGTTGAGAGAGCTAGGGTTTTTCTCTTTAGAACGACGAAGGATGAGAGATGATTTTATAGATGTGTACAAAATGATCAGAGGTATAGATAGAGTGGACAGCCAGAGACTTTTTCCTACGGTGGAGGTAACTATTACGAGGGGGTATAGTTTTAAAGTGATTGGAAGTAGATATAGGGTAAACGTCAGAGGTAGGTTCTTTACTCAGAGAGTGGTAGGGGCGTGGAATGCATTGCCAGAGAGGGTAGTGGAGTCGGCCTCATTAGGAGCATTTAAGCAGCTATTAGATAGGCATATGGATGATAGTATAAGGTAGGGGTGGAGGTTAGATAGACCGTAGGTTTAGGGTAAAAGTTTGGCACAACATCGTGGGCCGAAGGGCCTGTACTGTGCTGTACTGTTCTGTTTTATGTTCTATGACTCTCAACAGTTTGGTGCCCCTTATCTATTGAAAGATATGCGGGAATTGGAGATAGTTCAGAGAATTTTCTCTAGGCTGTTATTGGATGTGGAGGGACTGTCTTATGAGGAGAGGTTGAGTAGTTTGGGTCTGTTCTGATTGAAGTTCAGAAGAGTGAGAAGAGGCCTTATTGAAACATACGAGATTCTTAGGGGACTTGACAGGATCGATATGGAAAGATTGTTTGCCTTTTTTGGAGAGTGTACAACCAGAGGGTTGCCTATTTAAGACAGAGATGAAGAGGATGTTTTTTCTCTCAGAGGGTCATCAATCAGTGGAATTCTTTACTACAGGGGACTGTCGAAGCTGGATCAATAGTGATATTAAAGGCTGAGATGGACAGATTTTTAATCATAAGGGGAATCGAGGGTTGTGGAGAAAAGGCAAGAAAGTGGAATGGAAGATTACTGGATCAGTCCTAATCTCATTGAATAGCAAAGAAGACTTGATGAGCTGAATGGCTTACTTCTGCTCCTACTTTTTATGGTCTCATTGTCAATATTAATTGTAAGTCAAATGACTCCCAGAACTAGCTCAATGAAATGTCCCCACACCCGACTTCCTGTCAGCAGTCTATTTCACTCTCCCAGTTTCTGTGCTTTGTTCTGATGAGACCATCTTCCATACTAACACTTCGGATGTGTCTTTCCTTTTTCTGCAATGGAAGATTCCTGACACTCTGGGTGACAGGGTCCTTGACCGTGCCGGTTTCACTTCCCATACTTCATCTCTCCTCACTTCATCACTCCCCAAGATAATATAAGCCAGGTCTTGTTTGTATTAATGTAACCCTGGTACTGTTTGTGTAAATGTAGAGATATTGAGATACATAGAGATATAATGTAATGTTGGTCTTGATGGTGTTAATTTGCCTTCCTCTTTCATGTTGTACTTATTGATATTGAGTTCATGTTTTCTAATTGCAGGTCAGGACGCAAGGGAGCAGAAGAGATCGAAGAGTAAGTTTTTCAAATGTCAGATTATTGCCTCCTCATACCAGTCATAGAGTCATAGAGCTGTACATGGTCCAACTTGTCCATGCCAACCAGATATCCTCAATTAATCTAGGCCCATTTGCCACCATTTGGCCCATATCCCTCTAAACCTTTCCGGTTCATATACCCATCCAGATGTTTTTTAAATGTTGTAATTGTACCAGACTCCACCACTTCCTCTGGCAGCTCATTCCATACACGCACCACCCTCTGCGTGAAAAAGGTGCCCCTTAGGTCCATTTTAAATCTTTCCCCCTCACCTTAAACCTATGCCCTCTAGTTTTGGACTCCCCTACCCTGGGGAAAAGACCTTGGCTATTCACCCTATCCATGCCTGTTGTGATTTTATAAACCTCTATAACATCAGCTTGCAGCCTCTGACACTCCTGGTAAAATAGCCCCAGCCTATTCAGCCTCTCCTTAAGCTCAAACCCTCCAACCCTGGCAACATCCTTTTGGATCAGAAATTGGCTAGCTGTAAGAAGACAGAGGGTGGTGGTT